TGTTGATTTATTATCTACTGACATTTAATTGTGGTTCAAGATTCAGAATTGTGATCACCCTGTAACTTTTTCAATTATTAAATGTCAGTAGAGAGTAAAATCAAAAGTTAAGATCGGACATGAAAGCCGTTTTGACCGATAATGATTAGTTTCGTCACAAAAAAATCCGAAAGTTGAAAAATCTCGATTTTGAACACCCTATATCTCTGTAATCATTCTCGCTAGACCCCAAGTGTGATACATTGATGAAATCATCTCTTCAGGGAGAATCTGAAAATACAATGAAAAATAGGGTGTTCCATTTAAAAAAATTGAATAATACCCTGTAGATCGTTTGTTCCGAGCACCTTGTATTTTCTGATATAGCGGAAAAAAACTCTATCGAAAATCATTTCAGATGATATCTGAAATTTTGCAATCGGTTCAAAAACAACTGAGCTAGAGGGGGGGGACATTTATGGTGAATCACCCTGTTCATGTATTTCGTTGGTATCTATGTACATACCAACTGGCCATCGACCTTAGGAGAGGTCCTTTGGCTCATCTGTAGACTTTGCTACTAACTCCATATGCCACCTTGGGAGCAGCACTGTTGATTGGAACGCAACATCGAATCTTGCAGAATCATCTCCGACCAAGTCTACGAAAATAAGAATTTATAACCCGTTTTATAAATAAAAATTATTTGTTCTGCCGGGGATTCGAACCTAGCAACCTTTCGATATTCTGAATATTAGTCCAGCGCCTCAACCACTGCGCTATTCCGCCTTGATCTAATTGAATTCATTATTGATGAAGGTACAACACTTTTTGTATAGAAGTTTTTTCTAACCTCTTCAGGATGGAAAAAACATTCAAATTCTTCATCTTGAGTGTAGATGAAATGTTTGTTTACCTTACAAGGGCGGAAGTGCTAAGCGTCGTTCAGCCATCTGCAATCGCCTGCGGAAAAGTCACTTTACGCACGTGTTATTATCCATACTAGCGTGCGGAAAAAACCCAAAAGTTGATAAGAGGAAATATTTTTTATTATTTAAAATTCAATGTCAGTATACTCCTCAGATATAATATTTTTTCGGTCCGAACTTCAGTTGTAAGATACAAAGGAATCATTGAGAATTTTCTTCTCGTTAAAACTACTGATGATAGTTTGGATAGAAAACAAAATTGTTCTAAAATTGTTGTATCCGTCATTCGGTCGGAAAAAATTTGTTGACAGTAACGAGAAGAAAGATAGATATATATATTTATTCATAAAAAAATATAAGAATTTTACAGTCATCTCAAATAAAACCAGTACATAGTAACATGTAGAGAAGAAAAAAAAAAGGGGCAGTTACAATTGAAATTAAAATTAAAAATTGAACATTTCATGTCTCAAATGGGTTTTCTCACAAATCTGCAAAAAGGTATGCTAATCTTATAACAGTTTCTAGTTGAATACGTGTGAATATCATTGTGCTGTAAGACATTTTTCATGAATGAACGTATTCCATGATATAACAGCATGGTATCGGTAGAATTGAATTTTAAACGAGAGCGAGAACCCTGTACACATCAAAATATATCATCTCAGGTTTGGAATTTCATGAATTACTTCTCATCCCACCTCACCTCACTTCTCAATGATCAACTACTGAACCCGACACGTTTGCTGCTCGAAGCCAAAATTGTGACTTCTCCTCAGCGTTCTGCGCCCGAATTATTATTATTAATATTATTACTATTGATTGAAACATTCATAAAGAACTGCAAGAACTGGCAATTTTATAGTACCTATACAGTTTTAAGTAGCATTCTTTGCTGAAAGGTCTGACGTTACAGACCGAATTTTACAACAATAAATACGCTCTTTGAGCCTTCTACAATTTCATACATCCCACTTATTTACAATTATTACTTTTACAATTATTACAATTATTTCTTTCCTATAAGTATTTCAAAATACGTGAAGGCATCACTACACCCCAATCATTTATCCTACTCGAAGGACCTATAGTTGGAGTATCGTGATGCCTTCACGTATTTTACCCAAGTTGTGATCACGCCAAGATAAAACACGAAAAGGCATCATGGTACCACAACCAAGAATTTCTGGAACAAAAAAGTGCGACACCTCGTACTTATTGAATCATCAATAATTATTCAGGTTTGGCATTTCATGAATCACTTCTTTCCACCTCACTTCTCGATGATCAACTACAGAACATGCCACGCTCGTTGCACGAAGGTGACTCTGCAGCATCACCTACCAGACAAACTTGCAGAACGCCTTCGCAAATCATTATTATTATCATTAATGATTGAAAAATACATAAAAAAAACTACAAGAACGTTTATGAATTACAGATATTTGTTGATAATTCTTCAGTTTCCATGGCCTGGCACTGGTACTTTTATCGTTTCCATGTGTTTAGTATTATTTCCGCCAACCCCACTTATAGTACCGATACTTGAGGTTTCAGTGGTAGGCAGTGTCAAAGGGCATTGTAAAAATATCTCGAAAAATATAGTAGGGTTTTGACATCCCAACCATTGATCCGGCTCGAAGGACTAATGGTTAGGGTGTCGTGATGCATTCACGTATTTTACCAAAGTTGTGATCACGCCAAGATAAAATACGTGAAGGCATCACATAACCCCAACCAAGAATTCGTTGAACAAAAAAAGTGCGAAACCTTGTACTTATTGAATCATCAAATCAGGTTTGAAATTTCATGAATCACTTTTTCCACCCCATAACATGTGTCGACAGCAGTTCTGAGTAAGATGGAACAGCTACCAGACCCATTATTATTTTCCGAACTAAAACTTTTATTATTTGATCATGGCTATATTTTAATATGGAAAACATAAATACCATCAGAATTTTGCTGCCTTATTTCAAATATTCGAAATATTGTTGTCTTCAGGAAAGAATGAACCAAAGAATTCTGAATAATTTTGTAAGAAAGTCAATATTTGATGAGTGTATGAATGGAAAACCAGCATACCAAACAACAAACTTTCAATCTTTTACCTACAGGGAACCTTACAATGCGAAAGATTTACAAACAATGAGGTACACTCTCGCATAATGTAGATCCAGTGCAATTGCAAACAATATTCTGGTGTGCATTTGTTCTATACCCCCTTAAACATACTGTCCTCAAATGAGGACGGTGGATTCTAATGGGTTAAACCGTTACCACCGATAAAACAAGACCTGCATGCTCCGTGGGTGACGTCACTTAGTCAGGCCTAACCAGCGGCTCCAAACGACAAGCGCTTATCATTATTGAGCCGATTTTGCTTTTTTTTGAAGGGCTTCCGGTTGAAAGTAGATGCCAGCCGTCAACTGAGCCCTTCTTCGCATCCCATTCGATTTTATTATGGAAAAACGAAGTTTCAAAGCAAAAACCAGAATAAAACACAAATACCCACCTACAGCAACCCATTCGAATTAAATATATTGGCAAAAATTGTAGTGATTCAATCTCATTAGAGGTAAACTTCACACCTACTTATACAGGGCCCGCAGAACATAAACTTATGAGATTGATCGAAAGAAAATTGGGGAAAATGTATTTTAGTTTGATAGACATGCCGTTTGTTATTCCTAATTACCTATATTTATCTTGGAGAATTCCTATTACCTAAAAAATTAGCCAGTGAGTGTTTTCAATTTCCTGTTGTTGGATTTTTTACCCAATGGTTCGTTAGACTTGAAACAGTAATTTTTAAGTAGAGTGTTTGTAGTACATGTTAATATAATAGTTGCAATTTGATCATTGGAATGAATTCTGCATTCATTGCCACGAGGCAAATGACCGTTTTCAGAAAGAAATTTGAGAATGTATTGAGTCAGAAACCAAAGAGTCCAATGCATTCGAAATATGTTTCAAAACCCTCTTTTTCTGATTATCAAGACATTTTCCCGAATTATGTATCTCGTTTTTATCTATTTCAATTAGTAGTTCCTTGATTTGATTGATATTATTAGAGATAAAAGGTGTTTTCAGATTGGCTTTTAGAGATGTTTGTATCGCTAGGTCATACAAAAATGATTCCACATTCAAAACAAAATCAATCACAACCGAATATGTAATTACGGGCCCTGGAGAATAAGACAATTTGAATAATGTGACTTTTTGCAAATCGATAATTTTGAACCACTTTTCGGGCAGCTGAAAAGACTCTAATACAACTAGAAATTCTTGAAATTCTGTGTAGCAAAATGATTTTTGGTAATTTTCGAATTCAGTTTTACTTTTGGTAAGTGCTTGTGCCAAATTTTTAGTCTCTAGTATCTCAAGTTTTTCATCACGACTTGAGCGTAATTTTACATCTTTCAATAAATAAGATGGACAGTTGGGAAATTGAGTGGGAATAACATCTCGTTTGAGCCTAGGAATTTTCAAATCTATTGTTACAGTTCTGCCAGTTTTTGAATCGGTTGCAGAGTAGATGAAGTAATAATATCATCTTTAGTAAAATGTAATTCACATACTTTACTGTACTTAGATGGAGTCGTAAAATCCTTGCGGTGAATTGCATATACCCACTTTTTCGATGGTTCCTTGTCCAACGGGAAACTAAAAGCATGAACTTTTGGACCACCCACATAATTCCCCCGACAAAAGGGAACACAACACTTGTAAGGCATTGTTATTTCGCCTATCACAACACGAAATATTTCACAAAACAGTAATGTCTCCGCCAATTATTTTGATGAATAAACAACAAGAGAATTCGAGCACACACGCGATTTACCTACGCCACCGTTCTTAAACAAAAACAAACTGACAATCGATCGACGCGAATGCCTTGGAAGATGGCCTGAGTATGCGACGTCACGAGCTGTTTACGTCAGAGTTTGCTGGCCTTGTTTTATCGGTGGTAACGGTTAAACCATCATCACAGGTTTGGAATTTCATGAATCACTTCTTCCCAACCCACCTCACTTCTCGATGATCAACTACTGAACCTCCTACTCTCGCTGCACAAAGCAACAAGACAAAATGGTGACTCCTCCGCAGCAGTTCTGCGTCAGATGGAACAGCTACCAGACCAACCTGCAGAACGCCTTTCCGAAGCTGCTGACGTCAGAGCACTTTGTCGACGTCACGCTGGCCTGCGAGAACGAAATGCTCAAGTGTCACAAAGTGGTGCTTTCCGCTTGTTCGACCTACTTCGAGAAGCTGTTGCTGGAGAATCCTTGTCAGCATCCGATCATTTTCATGAAAGACATGAAGTGAGTTTTCTTTTACTTTCGTCACTAACTCCATACGCCACCTTAGAGCGAATCGTGCGGAATCATCTCCGGCCGAGGCTACGAAAATTAGAATTTATAACTCGTTTTATAAATGAAAATTTTCTGCTCTGCCTGGGATTCGAACCTAGCAACCTTTCGATGTTCTGGTTACTGGTCGAGCGCATCAACCAATGCGCTATTCCGCCGTCCTTTTGTGTGATAACTTAGGAAATGAGATTTAGCTTCGCTAAGACCCATTCAGAAAAAAATGCGTATGCCTCTGAAGTGGCGATTGTTAATTATCAACTTACAGGATTGCTGGAATTAGAGCTTCATCACTGGGATGATGAATCACGGCAAAGTTGCGCAACCTTATGCCTCACAAAATGCCGTTTTGAAACTTGGAAAATTCCGTTCACTTTCGGAGATATCCAAAAGATACTAACATTTCCTAAAACGTTTTCATTTTTTTTATTAGTGAAGAAATTAATTAAAATGAATGACACTGATCACGGTTACTTTTTTCCTACAAGTTTACGTTTTCAAATTTGAAATCCGACGCTTTGTCTTCTAGAAACAATCATCAACCTATTTTTTTCAATACGGACCTAGATTTTTTAATCTCAAAAGCTATGAGCTATCATAAACCTCAATTGTTTTATGTTTCGTTCAGCAAAATTGACAGTTCCGTATTGAATATTGAAAAAATACAGAAACGCTTGGACCCTTTGATCAGATTCACAAAAAATTCAGACAAACTCTGAAGATGAATATCTTCCGAAATAGTTTTCTTCCGATAAAAGTGTATTCTTTCTTTTCCGTTTGTTTTTTCGTCATCAATTATCCATTTCATTTATCGCCCCAATTTCGGAAACACATTTTTTGTAGGTTCTCGGAAATGCAATCTCTGGTAGATTTCATGTACAAGGGTGAAGTTAACGTAACTCAGGACGATCTGCCTTCGCTGTTGAAATCGGCAGAAGCTCTGCAGATCAGAGGCCTGTGCGGCTCAGATCAGCTTCTGAACCCCACCTATTTCAACAACATCAGGGCGGCACAACCCACTCAGCAACCTTCCCAGTCTCAGACCAGCGTAAGTTAACTAGAAAAAATAGTAAATTGTGCAACAAGTGGGAAAAGTTCGACTTTTCTCACGAGTGTGAATGTTTGTGGCACGAGCCTGAAGGGCGAGTGATGCAAACACACGAGTGAGAAAAGTGCTTTTCCCCACATGTTGCACACTATACTTTTTCTACAACTGCACTTATTCAAAGAATCCAAGTAATGTAGCTTATTGGTATTCATTTTATAATGTTGCACAATATACTATTTCACACACGATGTGAAGGTTTATCAAAAATAGTAGACAAAACTTCTGATTTCGTAAAAATCATCACTATACAAACTGACCTGTGGAACTTGTCCTAAGGTATACAGGGTGTTCTCATAGGTGAGACATTTTTTTGTAAGAGGACGTAAAGTTTATCCAAAAACAATTGCGATTGCGATGATGTATCAAAATATGAAGATCCACCAAATATCACCTCAATAAAAGTTGCATTATATTATATTAGCAATTGAAAATTTCATACATTTCAAGACAATTTCGGTGATTAACCCTAATACCGTCCACAGTAGAATTTTGTTTGTCTAGCGCTAGTCATCCAATCGTCTTTCACAATTATTTTTCTGTGTATTGTCAAACAATGTAGCACTTTTACAAAAATAATGAACTTGTTTACAAGCTGTTGATTAATGGAGAGTTACGCCAAAGTGCAGTAGCAGCAGTATTTCGTTGGGACACGGAAGATTTCCGTTAAGAAATTATCCAATACTGCCAGTGTTCTTGAATTTGTTGGAAAGTAATCGCGACACAGGATGTTTGATTATTTTGTCTGTTTTGCTGAGTTCTACATTCTGTTGAAAAAAAAAACACCTTTGAGAACACCCGTATGTTGGTATGTTGGTCAGACGGGAAGAATGTTCAACCACAGCATTCACGAACATATGATATTTGTAAAAATAAAAGTAATGTCAACATGAGCTTACCACATATTTGAAGAATAACATCATCAAGAAATGAAGCTTATTCATTTGGAATCATTAGCAATCACCAAAAGGCGGAAATGTTTACATTTTACTTAATAATCAATTAAATCTCATCAATTCACTGCTCTCGATTGCTTTTAGTAGGTAACATTTGATATTGTGCATACTTTCCGGAGTATTTAGCCTGCGCGCAGGTAATTCTAATCCTTCTGCTCCGTAAGCATACAGGGTGTCCTATCGAAAACGTACCGAAAGGAACGGCATTACAGGCTGGAAGTGCTTTTTAATGAGGTATTACTCGAACCCCAATTCCATTTAAAAAATGTGAGGGTGCTATCCCCATTTAGGGGGTAGAAGGTTTTGGTATTTGTTGCGTCAAAAGTTGTTCCTCTCGACAAACAAACTTGACGTGTTTTGGATTTTGTTGAAAAGTTCCTTACCAGCTTGTAATACCTTGTTATACCTGCGGTATGTTTTAGATGGGCCACCCTGTATATGAGTTGGACCAATTAGTTTATTATACGAATATTTCATTAGCGAAACATGTCGTAATATTAAGAATTTTGTGGAAATCTTGTCGTTTGTAAAGTTTCTATGAAAAAATTGAATTAACCCTAGTATTTTTTTATTGTAGCCCAAAATTGGGTCCCCAACCCCTTTTGAAACTAAACCACAGCCTAGTCAAATACCCATAAACAAATTGAGTGATACCCCAGTGAAAAAAGAGCCGAATCAAGTAACAGAAGGTTCTGACAGTGGTAACAACCCCTCCTCTTCTGATTGTGATTCAAATGATGGGATGCTGCAAATAAAAGGTATACTATCTGTTGGATTCCAACTATCAGTAGTTCACTCTGTAATTTTATTTCTTTTTAGAAGATGTTGATGAGGAGGTGGAAGACTCTTATTTCGAAGGTGACAATGGACTCATGGATCAGGAATTCACAGAGGAAGATGTCACTATCAATACGGAAATAAAGCCACAGTTCTCGCCAATAGCGAATGTCTCATGTCAGTATGATGCAAATCAAGGTGAGCCATTTGACTAGTAGTTCAAATGTACTTTTTTTATTGAAGATCAGAACGATCAGTAGGTCAAACGTACAGTGCATCCTACTTTGGTTGGGTGAGTCTGCCAGGTTTCTCGGTTGTTATTGAAGATAGAGCCTTGCTGTTTTCACGTTCCTTTCCTACTCTTTTGTGGGACTCAAGATGGCCTAATCAGATTTTTCGTAACTGTTTCCGTTTAAGAGATACAGGGCGATTTTGAAAATTAATACTTTTTGGACCCCTTCCATATCTACGTAGTTATTAGAAATGATGTTGCGCTAAGAACTTCGGGGAATTGATTTGGAGATATGACACGAAAAACGTACCCGAACGGCGAGTAGTTCAAACGCACCTGCTTACCCTAACGAAGTCGAGTAGTTCAAAAGTACCTTCTTGCTATAACGACGAGTAGTTTAAATGCACCTTCTCACCCAAAGGACACGAATAGTTTTAATGCATCTTTACATCCAAACGTCGAGTAGTTCAAATACACATTTTTAACTATAAGATGAGTAGTTCAAACCAACTTTATTCCCCGAACGATACGAATGGGTCGACCGCATTTTCACATCCAAAACGCCGAGTAGTTAAAATGCACCCTCTTACCCGAACGACACTACTAGTTCAAACGTACCTTCACATCCAAAAGTCAAGTAGGTCGAACGACACGATTAGTTCAAACGCACCTTACCCGAACAACAAGTAGTTCAAACGCACATTCTTACTCGAACGCACCATCACATCCAAGTAGTCAAGTAGGCCAAGAGTAGTTCAAACCCATCTTCTTATCCGAACGACGAGTAGTTCAAACACGCCTCTCCACCCGACCAACACCAATAGTTCGAACGCACCTTCACATCCAAACTTTGAGTAGGTTGAATGCACATTTTCACCTATAAGACGAGTAGTTCAAACGCTCCTTACCCGACCGACACGATTAGTTCAAACGCACCTTCCCACCCGGACGACACGAATATATCGAGCGCATCTTCACATCTAAACCACAGATTAACAAACTTTATAATCTGTGCCCAAACGTTGAGTAGTTCAAATGCACATTTTTACCCATTGAACGAGTAGTTAAAACGCACCTTTCCACATACACATACACGAGTAGTTAAAAAACACTTCTAAACCCGAACGACAGCGAGTAGCCCTTACCCAAACGACGGCGAGTAGTTCAAAGGCACCTTCTTTAACCCTTCAGGCCTGGTGAACTCTTACTAATTAAAGTCTCAATAGAGCTTCATGTCGATCAGTCAATGAACCGATCGAAAAATGTATATGAATGACGAGTAGTTCAAATGTACTATTTGTAGTAAACATCTCCAAAGAGCCACATGACGATCAGTCTATAAATCGGTCGAAAAACGTACCCGATCGAAGAGTAGTTCAAATGTTCTCTTTTTATTTGAATTCTCCAAAGAGCTACTTAACGATATCAGTCGATAAATCGCTCGAAAAATGTACCTGAACGATTAGTAGTTCAAAAGTACTCTTCGTAATAAAGGTCTCAAAAGAGCTACACACATGCAGGTTGTATCTAAAAAAAAATTACACAGAAAAAAATCAAAAGGTGATTCCTTGTGATATTGTAGGAAATAAAGTTCATATAAACATGTCCCTAACTTGTTTCGTTTTCGAGATACAGGGTATTAATATTTCCATGAAAGATCTTTTTTCTATTCATTTCTCAATTTTCTTTTCTTCAATTTCAATAAAACGTTGTGATTTTGTTAATATCAATATGGAGCTTCTTCTATAGTGCAATTAGATTCGAAATAATATTTTCAGTGGCGTCACATGATATTTTCATTAGATTGAACTATTGAAATGACAACTTTATAATGAATCGTTTTGTTTTTTTTGCCATATCTTCGTAGTCGTTTGGAAAAATCCCATCAAACCCTGCATTGTTGAATTTGTAATAATGAACTCTACTTGAATATGGAATGATATACTGGGTGTCCCTATGCAAATAAGAAAGTTGAGGTGCACTTCGGTGTGACCCTGTATATATATACGAATTATTCAATAGCATATTTCGAGTGAGCATCATCAAATATACTGGTTGACCAAATTTCAAGTCATTCGATTGCGCGGTTGATTTTTCACACGAGGGGACATTTTAGCTGGGACACGGTGTATACGTCCACTAATCGTTCGAAAAATAAAAACGTATCATAGCAACACGAGTAGTTCAAACGCACTTTTTTCCCTGCCAGGCTCGGCGAACCGCCGCATCCGACGGTCGGACGAGGAGCTCCGCAGAGCAGCCGAGTGCATCACGCGCGGCCAAACCTTCCAGACGGTCAGCGACCAGTTCAGCATCCCCATATCCACCATACGCTTCTACATGGCGCGCAAAGGTATCCTGCCGAGGCGCAAACGGGGCAGGGCGTGCGCAGGGCCTATGGGCGGTATGGGCGGGATGCCGCCCTTGACGGCCTCCTACAACAGCCCTGCCAGTCCGATAGGACCGCCCTATCACATCGTGCACTACAAATTGCCGCAGCTCGGCATGTCCAAGCTGAAATAAGGGTTGAAGGGCTGGTGGTCGCGGTTTTATTGAGATTTTTTTTCTTCTGGTTGTGCTCATTTGTTTTCGTTTGTTATCGGTTGGAGTCACAGAGGTGCTTTGCAAGGGGGTAGATCCTCGTTTGGTATCTCCTAATATCATTTCCAGAGCGAGAAAATGTCCACTAGTACAAATGTGCCATTGTTCTTTCCAGTAGTTCAAATTTACCGTCATAGTTTCCAGTAGTTCCAATGCTCCGTTTACTCGCGAATGTTCATGAATAAATGGTGACATCATGTGATGCTTTGATATGACACAAAATTTGAGCAATACATTTGAACTGCAGTGCATTCTGTCAATGGTAGGGCTGTTGGTCGCGATTTTATTGAGATTTTTTTTCCTGGTTGTGCTTATTTGTTTTTGTTTGTTATCGGTTGGAGTCACAGAGGTGTTTTGCAAGGGGGTAGATCCTCGTTTGGTATCTCCTAAAATCATTTTCAGAGCGAGAAAATGACCACTAGTTCAAATGTACCATTATTCTTTCCAGTAGTTCAAATGTACCATTATTGTTTTCAGTAGTTCCAATGCTCCGGTTACTCGTGAATGTTCATGAATAAATGGTGACATCATGTGATGCTTTGACATGACACGAAATTTGAGCAATACATTTGAACAGCAGTGCATTCTGTCAATGGTAGGGCTGGTGGTCGCGATTTAATTGAGATTTTTTTTTCTGGTTGTGCTCATTTGTTTTCGTTTGTTATCGGTTGGAGTCACAGAGATCCTCGTTTGGTATCTCCTAAAATCATTTTCAGAGCGAGAAAATGACCACTAGTTCAAATGTACCATTATTCTTTCCAGTAGTTCAAATGTACCATCATAGTTTCCAGTAGTTCCAATGCTCCGGTTACTCGTGAAATGTCCATGAATAAATGGTGACATCATGTGATGCTTTGTCATGACACGAAATTTGAGCAATACATTTGAACTGCAGTGCATTCTGTCAATGGTAGGGCTGTTGGTCGTTTTTTTCCTGGTTGTGCTCATTTGTTTTCGTTTGTTATCGGTTGGAGTCACAGATATCCTCGTTTGGTATCTCCTAGAATCATTTTCAGAGCGAGAAAATGACCACTAATTCAAATGTACCATTATTCCTTCCAGTAGTTCAAATGCACCATCATTGTTTTCAGTAGTTCGAATGCTCCGCTTACTCGTGAATGTTCATGAATTGACACGAAATCTGAAAAATACATTTGAACTGCAGTGCATTCTGTCAATGATATTGTCCAATGTGCACGTGAAGATGTAGTTTGATTTCTCAGGTCTCGAAGTGTGAGTGGTACACTTAAACTACTGGTAATGGGCGAGTGGACTGATAATGACTTATTAGCATTCAGTTACTCCACTGTGTCTTGCTTTTTATATGTAAATAATAAGTCTATGCGTTGTTCAAAATCGTTGAATGTGACGTCATGGCCGCCATTTGGGGATACGTCGAATGAATGGTGACGTCAGTTTTTATACTGTTCCGTTATTGGTCAGATAACCTTCCATTTCCACTCATGAAGCAAGGTTGTCAAGTCATCAATTATAATCATGTTATCAAAAAGATGTTTAAGGCCTGTCGTTGAATAAAACATAATAGGAGGAACTCATGACATTATAGTAGTATAGTATACGCAAAAAGCCACAAATCATAACGGAACATTTTGAGACAATTTGAGTGATGATTCTATTTATGAAATAAAAAAAATGAGTGCACTCGCCTATTACAAGTCAACGATATAGCTTGATTCTTTGCATGTCTGTTCAAAAGATCTGTAAGCGAATTTGAACTACTGGTCTTTCAACACAATGTTAAAACACATGTTCTTGATCAATTAACTATAGTATGTATAGTTAATTGATCAAGAACATTTGTTTCAAAATTGTCTTGAATGACCAGTAGTTTGAATTCATAGCTTACAGATCTTCTGAGCAGGCAAAGGCAAAGAATCTGGCTACAACGTTGACTTGTTATTACCAGTAGTTCAAATGTACCACTTTTAGATTCAAACTACATCTTTCCACACGCACATTGAGTAATAACATTGACAAAAGGACTGTAGTTCAAATGTACCGCACATATGACATGTCTTGAACAAACAAGTTTAATTGAAATGACTTGTAATACTGTAATAAATGACTCAAATTTCATGTCCTTGGTGAACAAAAACACATTTTCACCGACTCTAGAGACATTCACGTGAAATGATCGAGAGTAGTTCGGATGTATCGTTATAATTTCTTGCTCTAGTCAAGCAAATGACATGATTCAACTTCATTTTCATGAAATAAATTGTAAAATTAACGTGGAAGTAGCCGTGTAGTTCAGATGTTCCGCTTCATGTCCTAAGTCAAACTAATTATATTTTCATTCACAGTAGTTCAAATGAATTTCATGTTATCAATGAATGAGTCATTTGATTCTAACATCAAGTTAGAAAGTTTCAACCAGTTATTGGAGAAATTGACTCAATCACCAGTAGTTCAAAAGTACCTTTCACATTTTTTCGTCTCTGGGAATAGAAATCTGCATCATTATTACACTTATTGGGGAAATAATGAATAGGTACAGAATCAAAAAAAAGTTTAACTCTGTGACTCTATTCTTTAGTGATATTTTGAGGTGGTCATAGGCAAACACATCCGCTAGTTTCAATGCTGACCTATGTTTGATCTCTGAATATTTTGACTCCTAATTTGATGCTATTAAGCATAAATGTTTTTGATTGCCATTTATTTATTTATTTATTGATTTGACGATCTCGTTCTTATATTTTTTGCCAACTGAACTTAATTAATTTAGGTCTCAAGTTTATCTTTTGCTGCCAAATAAGATATTTTTTTACTTATGTTTTACTCATTAATTTTTGTGTTGTCTCGAAAAAAATATGTCTTCTTGGAACAGTACCAGTGTGGTATTTTATGGTTTGTGTATATTGTGGTAAGTAGAGATGTAAAATTTTTAGTGATTCACTCGTTTTTTGTGGTGCCATGGAGCCACAATGATGTACAAATTTTGTCTGATATTATCTCTGAAAAAATCTCATTCTGAAACAAGTACTAGTCTAAATGTAAGATTTAATTTTTTTGTAGGTTAATATTTTTTGCATTTTACAATTAGTTTTAGATATGCTGCCATTCTTCGTTTTAAATAATTATGATAAAGAGAGATATGATTCATCTTTAAAGTATTATCATGAATATAGTCATTCACATTTAGTCATCTTTTTTTAGTTAATTTTCAGTTCCTTTCTAGCAACCGAAATCAAAACTGAAAAGCGAAATATTCTTACACTTTTTTAATCGGTATTATTGCTCAAATTCAAAATCTTTATATTAGAATGTCCTTGAGAATTTGTACTCATCATCATGAAGAATATTGGATTAATAATACTGAAAAAGATTTTCTATTTTTTCTACATACAAATTAATTAATGATGCGCTAAAATTCGGAGTCGGACATTATTTTCCTGCTTTCAAATTCGCTTCAACATTTGATAGATAGGTATTAATGAAACAGATATACAGGGTGTTTTAGTTTTTTGTAGCAGGACTTTAACAGCTTGAAGAAGACATTTTTTCAAGATGAAAATCTCATACGAACATATATGCGTGGAAGCTTCGTTTCCGATTTACAGGTTGTCAAAGTTTCAGATTTTTTTTATGTTTTTTGAATTTTCTCCTACAATTTTTGGAATAATTGATTGAAATTTGGTACATATAATACACTTCAAGAACTCAATATTTGAGGGTATTGAGCGTTTTTGAATACTTACAGGGTGATAGACTTTCAGGGGTCGTACCCAATTTCACCCTGTAGAACTTTTTTGCGTACCGTCCCTGCTTTCAATGGGACATAGATTCAGATTGTACTTTCAATTTGCAAACTTTTTGCCCCCATGTAAATTTTTCGAAAACTGTATGGATCTCGAGATAAATGCCAAATAGTTATTTATTATACAAGGGAAAAAAGTAGTAGATTTTAGCTCCAGGTTGTGTTGTCTCCCGACGCGTAGCGGAGGGAGACAAAAAACCGTGAGCTAAAATCTAATATTTTTCCCGTGTATAATACACTATTTTTTTCTGTGACAGGAGGAAGGACGAATCAATATTGGGAAGATACTACATTATTTCGAAATCTGAAAATTATCGACGTGAAATTTCAAGTATTTAACAGTAGGGACACCTGCGTTTTATAGACATCTTCATCATTCTTTTGAAGTAATCAAATATCTGATGTCACTTCTGTCAGTTCAATTCTGTGATTTGATTTTAAAAAATTGCGAATTCAGTAGTTGTTTAGTAATATACGAAACCGCGAAGTCGAATGGAAGATAAAAGGACTTGCAGTTCTTTCTCGGAGACGGTATTATTGACTTATTTTTCGGAACTATAGCACAACAAAAGCCATTAACAGAGTATATATATGTGATATATATCCGGGAAAGAAGTACTCACTTTTTTCCCACGGGAAAAAAGTAATTTATGAAAAGTGACATTTTATAACCTGCCAACAGAGATGAAATGCCAAACTTTTTTCCCGTCACAGAAAAAATGTTTTTATTTCAAAAAAACTTCTCTAACTGGATTGCAAAATCTGAAATTGTATTGTATCGGAGGCAAAAAGTTTCCAAATTGCAGAGACAAACTGAATCTATGTCCCATTGAAAGCAGAGGCGGCACGCAAAAAACTTCTACAGGGTTAAATTGGGTACGACCCCTGAAAGTCTATCACCCTGTAGGTATTCAAAAACGCTCAATAGCCTCAAATATTGAGTTTTTGAAGTGTATCAGGTGTACCAAATTTCAATCAATTATTCCGAAAATTGTAGGAGAAAATTCAAAAAACAAAAAAAATCTGAAACTATGACACCTTGTAAATCGGAAACAAAGCTCCCACGCATATATATGTTTGTTTGAGATTTTCATCTTGAAAAAATTTCTTCTTCAAGCTGTTGAAGACCTGCTACAAAAAA